ACTTCCTAGCAGACATGACGCTGAATCTGCTGCGACTGCAAACCTTCTTTATTTCTATTTATTTTCTTTTTTTTTAGGGGTGGGCGACAAACAGCAGCTAGGTTAATACCGTGATCAAAGACATTTTATCATGCAGACCGGGCTCCTCTGGGCGCATCGATGCGGCTGAGGGGAGCAGCTTTAACTGATGCTTTGAAATGATGCGCATTATTTCATGGGCATTACGCTGCCGTGCGTTATGCATAAGTTAGGATGTTGTTGGACATAAAGTCTGCACTCGTTATAAATATACTATGTATACGCCCAAAACAGAAAAAATACATAGAAAGTTCAGCGTATGCCAGTGTTTTAGGGGATTGTGGGACATCAGGCATACGCTGGCTAAATCGGCAAGGTGTGACAGGGACCTAAACCAATATTGTTGCTATTAATTAACACATTTTTCACTGCAGGGATTAATCAGCGAACTACTTTGCATTTAGGGATGAATTTAGGGTCTGAAAAAGCTTAAAAATGTTCAGAAGTGTGTCTGTCTTTGATTTAAAGGTTGAAAGCAGGTAAACTGGAAAATCTGCTGAATTAAAATGGAAACAATAAGCCCAGATAGACGTGAAGGATGGAAACAAACCTACAGAGAATGATCAGGGACGTCCTGTGGTCAGCTGCTCTATCCTGACTGCAGCAGCTAAAATCAGGGATTATAGATCAGTTTGAATACATTAGCAGTAGTTTGGTTTTCCCTGGAAGGATAAATATTCCAACATTTTTCCATTTCTACAGTACAATTCTGAGTTTATAAAGGAAAAAACTAAAGCGCCCTTATCCCTAATGCCAGGAGGCACAGCCTACCAATACCAACACTCTTCCTCCAGTAGGGTCTAAAATGACTCCTATTAAAATTAATGTTTTTGCAATAGTCTAAACATACTTCTCTTATTTTGGTTACGATTATATATTTTGCTCAAACAAAAGAGTCATTTTATTTTTGACATGTACATGTTTTTTACTCCTTATTCATATTTGATGAATCAGTCCAAACTACTTGCCTCTGGCTGTGAACGCTGCACACAGGGATGCTGCATTTCCAACAGCAAACAGTGGCGTCGCCATCTTTGATTCTTGCACACAACTGGAAACTCTTCCTCTTCTTCTGACCCTTTGTGCTTCTTTTTCCATTTCACAGAAAGAGTTTCCTGAACCCGTTTTAAGTCGCCATAGTAACATCCTCCCAGAAGTAACCTGGTCAGCAGCAGGTTTTCTGCAGTAAACTCAGTGTCCTCTGTCTCCTCTCTCTTTACAGGCTGTTTTATTTCCTGATTATTTAGTCACATTTTTGTTGTAGATTTGTCCATAAAAAAAAAAAAAATATATATATATATTTATCATTCCATCTATAACCAACATTAGGTTTTAAAAACATTACATGTCCGTTTGATGAGGATCTTAAAAGATTTTGGTGATTTTGGTCTGGAAGACTCTTATTTTAGTGATCTACAAATGGAACAGACAGAATGCTTCTAATAAATGTGAACGGCCTGCCATAGCCCACTTCATAAAAACTTGCGCGATAAACTTCTCCTTCAACATCTTCCTCTCCTTTGTAGCTGTAGCGCTTTGTCTTTTAAACTCTTTTTATTTTGCATTTCTGCATTAGAATCAGATATACTTTAATAATCCCAGAGGGAAATTACTTTTGTTACATGCTCCAGTTACAGTTTTATATAATATATACACACATCCAACTATACAATATAATAAAGANTATATATATATATATATATATGTATATATATATGTGTATATATATATATATGTGTATATATATATACACATATGTCATTCCATCTATAACCAACATTAGGTTTTAAAAACATTGCATGTCCATTTGATGAAGATCGTATTTACGAAAGATTGGCACTTTTTCACAGAGAATTTAATATTTTGGTGATTTTGGTCTGGAAGACTCTTATTTTAGTGAGAGTGCTTCTAATAAATGTGAAAACGGCCTGCCATAGGCCACTTCATAAAAACTTGCGCAATAACCTTCCCCTTCACCATCTTCCTCTCCTTTGTAGCTGTAGCGCTTTGCCTTTTAAACACTTATTTTTTTTATTTTGCATTTCTGCATTAAAATCTCTAGTTCCACTGGGGTGAAATGGGCACATCTGTTGCCATGGTGACTCGTCGAATCGGTGCTCCACTGATAATGGCTTTTCATACTTATTGCACACATGTTAAACTGTGAGTGGACCTAGTGAACATTTATTGAATGAATTGTGGAACTGAACACTCAGAGTTCCTGACTTTAGGCTAGATAGATGTAGAGTTGAGAATTTGAATCTGAGTTTGTTAAACGGACCCCAGAATGTGTTCAGGTTTGCAGTATTACCTGTACATCGTGAAGTTTCATCTTTTGTTTAAAGACTAATCTTGAAGTTCTTTGGACTTCTTGTAGTATTTGCTCTGGAAGTTAAACTTTGGGCTGGCCATGAGAAAATGGACAGAACGAGTGATTGTCGAGCTTTAAACCAGTTTTTAAATTTGTGCCCAAAAAGCTAGACTAAAATACTTTCTGGCCTAACTCTCAAATTAAGATCTCAGCTGCCACTGAAAGAATGAGGCCCTTAGAGAAAAAGTGACATGTTTTCATTTTAAACTGAATCCAAGTCCTGATTTGTGGAAATATTTGACCACCTAATATTCCTAACTTAACACCCTGTTTTTTTGTTGTTTTTTTTCCCCAGAGTGCCTACAGGAGGAGTGGGATGGCTTTCCTCGCCTGCTGATGTAGCAGATTACTGACATTTTCATTTGGTTCATATTTTAGCAATAAAAACTGCACAAAACTACATAAGTTGATGGTTTTTATTGATGAAAAAACTTTATTCAAAACTTAGAGAAACAAGGACGATTAAGCTCAGAGCGCAGCTTTGGGAATCACAGCATCATCAGCACATTGAGGCAGAGCGACTGGGAAGTGATGAGGGACGAGCTGTTTCAGTACGACGTGGTGGAAAGTTACTGGAGGCAGATTTCTTGTTTTAGATGCGAATCAAACTGATCATAACTTCTGAGTGCTGCTGAGCAGAGACTCCCTCTCCATCAGAAGCTCTCCGTATCTCTGCTGAAGCTCCTTCTCTCTCTCCATCTGCCTGTCCACGTCCTCCCGCAGAGCCTGGAAACACAATAAAAAAAAAGGATAAATACATTTATATCAAGAAACTTTGTTAGATATAGTAAATAAAAAAAATTGTGATTTTTGTTCCAAATAACATCTTTTGGAAATAGAAAAAAAAAACAAAAAAAGCTATCCAGAAATTAAGCTGTGAATACCTTAATGTTTTCAGAGTAACTTTGCAAGTTTTGCAAAGTTTCATCTCTAGTTGAACATTTTTTTCCCCCATTTTCTTTGCCAGCAACAGCTACTCCATTAGAAAACAGGCAGATTTATAAACACCAAAATGCACTTTCCTCTCCAGCATCCGTATCATTAGCACACCTGGGTGTCCAAATAATGTAATTAAGGTACTAAAATTACTTATTTCTACCCTTAACTCACTAAAGAATGCTAACACACATCTTTAATACATTTTTTATGTTTTTTTTGTGAGACAATTTTGATGCTTTTTACATTTTCTCCGTTAAACTGCTTCTGACGTTATCACGGAACATGCTCAGAGCAGTCTGGCAAAATATGAATAAATCATTTTTATCTGCATTTTAGTTGTTTCTTTCTGTAGATTACGAACTATAAAGCATAAGGAAAACATAAAACTCAAAAAGACTAGATTTACGTTTAAATCCAAAGCTGAAAAAGTTAGCGACTGGAAGTAGCATAGATCCCATTTCCGCTGCAGGTCGGTCACAGACGAGTGATAAAACAGAATTTTAAGGCTTTTATTTTCTCAGGAATAACATTAACCTTTAACACGTTACAGTTTACTACGCTAACTAAACGTAATGTAGATCTTTTTAACAAACTAAAATCTAGGGCGACCCGGATGTATATCTGGAAACGAGCTGATGGAGCATGCGCAGAACGGATCGTGCTTACGGGACGGATCGGGTAGCTGCAGTAGGTACCAGATCTGCCCAGCAACTCTCGTCAGACAAACTGTATTCCCTATATTTGCTATTATTTTACGTTTCATTGGTGATCTAGTGTAGAAAATTACTGTGTTCTAAAACTGAGCTTTACCATTTAAGAAAGTGACAATTTCTCATTAAGGTCTGAGGGCAGAGCAGAACAAATGGAACATCTTAAAAATTACTTTCATAAAGATTTTAGACAAAGTTATTCTACTTTGTACGATCGGTTGTTATTGACATGAATTTAAAAGTAGCGTAGCTTAATATGGGTAACTGACCAAGCTAAAAGAGGCTAACCTGTTAGCTACTCAGCACAGCTAGCCACAGCGCTACCAGCTCTCCCCCCTTTATATTCCGGTCTAACAGTTACTTTGTTCACCATCAACAGATTTAGTTTCGGTTTTGTTATTAATAAGGTAAAACTTCATCAGTCATTAGACACGCTAATGATACAGATGCTCCAGACTATGGAAAGCCATTTGGTTCATTTACTTCTAACATTAACTACACGTCAATGACACGTATTTTTTGCGTTAACTTCTTGTCTTCGCCTTTCATAACCTTTGTTACATGTTACCTACACCCTGATCCCCACATTATTCTCTGGGCGCCCCATGATGGCAGCCCACTGCTCCCCAAGGGGATGGGTTAAAATACAGAGAAAGAATTTCAGTGCTCTGTACTTGTGATGGTTTAAATGACAAAGTTGACGACTCCTAAAATCTAATTCTATGTATCAATCCAACCCACAGACAGTTCTACTTTAAAAAAGAAAAACACACTATGGATTTATTCATTTTATTAATCTTAAAACACTACTAGTGTTAAGAGATATATTCCTGGCTTTTACGGCTTGATTTTTGTTATTAAAATATTAATACCATTACTGTCCCTTTTTCCTAATTTCATCTTGAAGAAATGTACTTTGTTTTTATCTACGAGCTGGAAATGTCCCCAGATTTGATTTCAGAAATCTGGTCACCTTATTTTACATCATGAGGCAACGTTCAGCCAGTCATGTAGCGTAACATCACTGGCATGAAGCAGGACTCGAGCAGATCTGCTACCTACAGCGGATATTTTAAATCTGCGTCACGTTTCTCATTTCCAGTATATTCTACTTCACCACAAGGTCTCACTTCCTGGCTGAATGGAAGTTTAAATAGACCCCAGGGTCCATCTTGGTTGGACTGTCAGAATCGCAATACGGACAGGAATAAATCGGATCCATTTTGTTTTTAAATATAAAGGGTCGGATCCCTTCACTGAAATTATGCAGCGGTCCCACTTCAAAAGGAACGGAGATGTCAGATACATGAAAAACACATCAGACATCCACCAATTCACGGATATGGAGGGAGTTCACATGGAAAAATCTAATACGATTTTTCATCACGCCTAAAGTCAAGAATAAATGTAAGGATAGAAACACGGGGTGTTGGCGGAATTGTGGATCAGTGAACGCCGACCACTCTCACATATTTTGGAACTGTCCTAAAACTGTTCAATTTTGGAAAAATGTACATGAAACTGTGAAGAAGATTCTGGGATATGATATTCCTATGAGTTGTGTGGTATTATATCTTTACAATTTGAACAATATCAAAGTAAGAGTAAAAGACAGGTATGTGATTAAGATATTGTTAATAACTACAACAAAAGGAATTACGAGAAAATAGGGAAAGGGGCAGACCACCCTTGTAAAGAACAATGGACTGGAATAATAGAAGTAATCTACGTCATGGAAAAACTGACACATCGTCTAAGACTTCAACAAACTCAATGGAAGAAAAATGGAGAAAAATTGGACAACATTCAGGACAAAAGACAGCGACATAGATAAAGAACTAATTAAACTTGACAAAGGTCAAATAGAAGAATAGCTCCCAAGTGAAACTTTTATGTTATATAATATATATATATATTTATATAATGAGAAATGTTCATGTACACTGTATATTTAAAAAAAGGTGAAATATAACAATAAAAAGTTAAAGGATAAATAATTAAAAAAGGAACGGAGACATCGATGCCAGCCGTGACAGAAGCCTCTCTTCCCATTAATCACAGAAACCTTTCATCTCGTGTTTCTATGGAGTTTAAATAAAGTTTTAACGTATTATTCTGCTGCAACTTTCCCCTCCGACCTGACAGAGAAGTACTGAGTGTTTTACCGCTTGTCTCCTGGGAATGGCCAGATCCTCCTGCTGCTTCAGCTGGTTGAAAGTCTGCAGCTCGGTGGCCGCTTGCTCCACCTGGTGGACAACACAGACATTACATGGCAGCTACCGCAGAATTCATTCATTTCATGATGATCATTTCTTACATCCATAACCTAATTAAAATAATTAATTAGATTTACGGAGGCTGACGTGAAATTAGCTGAAAGAGCAACACAGCAGTAATTAGTAAGTAATATTTGGCATGAGGAAAATGATTATCATTAACTTATTTTTCTTTCTATCCAGAACTACTCATGTCACAGTTTAAGCCTCACTTGGTTTAAATTCTGCATCAAATCTTAAAGCCATTTTTTAAATTGAATCTATTCATCGGAAAAATTATTGACAAACAAAAAACACTTTACTACGACATAAGAACTGGTTGTTCTTTACGGAGGCATATTGCATTCACCCAAAAAAAAAAAAAATCTGAAAGCGTAACTACGAGATAAGATCTCATAATTAGGAGACATGTCATATTTATGGGATTAGGAAGGACAGGCATTGCTGAGCTATGCTACATGAAACGTGACCATCGAGTGGGTTGTCTAATTTAATCTGCTGTTATTTCCTTTAAGGTATGTGTCAATGGGAGATACTTCAGATTCAATGTGGATGGAATTAGTTTTAGTTGTTCAGCATTGCACAGTAAGTCCTTAGGATTGTTTAGGCGCTGGAAGTCGCACCATTCCTGCAGGAGAAATTAAGTACGGGATTCTTTAAGGTTATAATTAATGCATCTGAAATGCATTCCAGCTGGCTTGGTGATGTCCCAAAGAACTATCCGGTACCTTCTCTAGGGTTTATACAGCCATGAGTAACTCCAGTTCAATGCTTTTTAATGCCCTTTTAATGCTCTTAGAAATTATTTTGATGCCATCAACAACCATGACTCTCCTATAAACACAGAAAAATCCTTCAGCATCTTTAGCGTCGACAGGCTGCAGCCATGTCCCGAATTCCTCGTTTTTCAGGCTCTTATTTTGAAATTTTCCTTTTCCCCCCATTCTCTTGCTTTTTCTTCGCTTCAAGCTTCTTTTCGGAACATACAGCTTTACAGCCAACCTTAAGCATCCAGTTGATCCAAGATCCGTATCCAGTAACTGTGAGATGCAATTCACTTCTTAAATCTACCTTTGTGCTACTATAAATTATCCAGAAGTTTTGCAATCTCACTTTTTCTCTCACTCCCAGCTTTGTGATCGGCTGCATATTCAGCAGCCTTCCCTGGAAACACCTCTCCAAGTTACTCTATTTTTTGACAATCTCTCATTACAAAGCAAAAATATGCTAAAGAGCTGCGGGTTGCTGACCCCTGCTCTAAACAAAAAAAAGGACTGAAGGTCTTTTATTTTGATCTTGAATCTGTAAACCTTTGTCTTGCGCCACGGGTCACACTGAGCTGTGAACATGGCGACCCTCAGCGATGAAGCGGAGAGCGGCTCATCAGAACCTCCTACCTGCTCCCACAGTTCATTGTGCTGCTTCAGGAGCCCCAGCGCTCTGGACTGGAATCCTCCCAGTAGAATCTTCAGTTTCTTCTCCAGCTTCGCTGCTCTGCGGGCCTCCGCCGTCATGTGGCCGCGGTTCACCTGGACGGTTCACAGAGGCGGGTTTGGACCAGAACTCTCACAGCCACGTTGATTTAACTGAACTGTTCTCTGCTTACCTCCAGTTTCTTCTCAAGGCTTTCAATCCGATCCTTCTTTGACGCCAGGTTAGCTCGGGTGTACCTGTTCTGACCTGCTAGATACAGAACCTGTGCAGCAGGAGAGACGGTTAAATGTGGAGAAACGCTGGGAGGATGAGGAGGATGAGGAAGAGGAGCCTATGCTTACCTGCCCGTAGCATTCCTCCCACACCTGGGTGTAGGCCTCCATGCTGAGATCTCCGTGGCCCATCCCCGCCTTCACCACCTCCATCTCCGCCGTCAGGATCGCCTTCGCCTGTTCAACACGCAACATGTGAAACCCTCCGCCTCCTTTGGTTGCCAGGTAACGGCATGCGGACGGCGTGTCTGACCTGTTCCATGTCCTCCGTGCTGATGGGCTTGTAGGGGTGAGTTTCCAGGTAGGAGATGTGCGAGGCGTTGTTGGACGTGGAGGCGGGACCTTTGGCTTTGCCGCGCAGCAGCTGATTGGCTGCGGTGGTGGATGGATGGTGCAGACAGTCGTGATGCAGCATGGTGATCATTTCCTGTTTGATGAGCTCCTCTGCGACCTGGAGGTCGGTGAGCGGCTCCATGGAGGAGGGGCGGAGCACCGACTCGTTTACCTGCAGGGAGAACCACACATCACCATCCAGCGCTTCAAAAATCTGGCTTTGTTAGCATGGAGGAGCGAATCATACCTCCGTCGGTCTGGGGAGGCTCCTCTGAACGGGGGTGTGTCGAAGTTTCAGCTCCTTCTCCCTCTCTGCGTCCCGCTGAGCCTGAGGAAACCAATGTTTTAATTCAACGCCACGGCGAGGAGGGGCCCGTCCTCTGAGCTCTTCTTCCTCCTTACCTGTTTGCGCGCCTCAATGTCTGCCGAGTCCTCGATGAATCCGCTCTCCATCTCCGTCTCCTCCAGCTCCTTCTCTGCATTTTCAGGAAGAACGATCTCAAAGTCGTTCTTAGGAACAGGAAGTGACAGCAGGCCCTGTCTCAGCTGCTGCAGGCTCTCCTTTTGCTGCGATGAGAAAACAGCTTTTCTTTAACAACAGAAAACGTATACCTGGGTAAGACAAGTTTTTTTTTAAGATTAAAGAGAAATCTGAAAAGTGAGGCATGTCCTTTATGAATTGAATTATCCATGTACTGAATCGTGCTTTACAAATAAAATTGCCTAAAACAGCCGCTGTGATTTTATCCATTTAAAAAAAAATCTGAGTGATCATTAAAAAAACATTTAACAAACAGGAGACTATTATAAAATAAAAACTGAACTTCATTGATCTCCACTGCAAAAAAATCTGAATCTAGATAAGTCATTTTTTCTTAAAATAAGTGCATTTGGTCTTGAATTGAGGAGGTAAAAGAGACATTTTGCCAATGGAACAAGACAATTTACACTTAAAATAAGAAAACACAATTGCATTGTCTTATTTCAAGTGCATATTATCTAATTATCTTATTTTAAGAGTAAAATTACTCATTCCATTGGAAAACTATCTCATTTACCTGCTCAAATTAAGGGTGAATACACTTAATTTAAGAAATTTTTACTTATTTCTAGATCGTTTTTGCAGTGCATTGGAGAAATTCACTCTCTGCATGTAACCCTTCCCCTTGGGGAGCAGTGGGCTGCCATCATGTGGCGCCCAGGGAGCAGTGTGGGGTTAACGGTCTTGCTCAGGGGCCCAGAGTGGAGGCTGTGGGGATCGAACCGGATACTTGGACCTTCTCACTGCTCTAACCACTAGGCCACCACTCCCAGCACTTAATGTGATATATAGTGCATTACTCAAAGCGTAGCCTTTCTGGTATTGGCGAAGCAAAACAAATATTTTAATCTTTGCGCGTTTGTGTTCATATAGCCATCAGCACCTTCACAGCCAGTCTTCCAAAAAGCCCCATTTTTAATTAAACCTTCTCTTTATAGTGTTGTCCCTCAGAAGGCTCGGTTGCTCCAGCTCTACACCGCCACAGTTTGCCTAGCTGTTGGTAAATGACGGGGTGCGCTCTCTGTATGGGCCTCTGGGACAGACGGGAGGGAGACCTACCAAAATAAAAGCTGAAAGGACATGACTGAAGAACAACTGTGCTTCTAACTAGTGATGGTTATTGATGCATCGAAGCCAAACTGTATTGATGCTGCGTTGATTCTGACATCTGCTGGACATTTAAAGACACTACAGGCAGATTATTGGACAGACTAAACTGAATTGATTTGATGACCTAGAAGAATTATATCATTTAAGTTATTGTACGTTGTATTGTAATATTTCATATCTATGTTTAAATTGAAAATATCTTTGATATTTGATGTCTTTGATTATCACACAAGAAATTTTAGGGGAAAATGTGAATGAAGATGCTTGTGGACTAGGATTTTAAGTCTTTTTTTTTTTTTTTTACACAATAAGTACAGTAAAAACAGTTACTCAGATGAAAAGGATGACACAACGAGAAAACTAAAATAAAAACAAGACTGAAACCTTTCTGTTCCTTTTAGGCGCCAAAATTCTTGATCATTTTAATGATAAACCGCAAAAATATGAGACATTTTTTCAGCAGATGCATCATGTTGACAGATACGTTTTTAAACAGAGTTTAGTGAGTCAGTCAGTTAGAAACGGCTTCTGTGTCGGTCACATGACTTTCTGGAAACGACACGTGCACCGGTAGTGTTTTGCTCTCTGGGCTCCACGCATCGGTGTTACTAGATCCATCACTAGTTCTTACACTAACTCGCCTTGTGGCGAATGGCGCTC